AACAATTGATACCAGGTCACACAACTGTGAAGAGAATGAGCCTAGATTTTACTCAGGTCCAAGTCTGTGGACTTTTTAGATAACTACAGTGAGATGAGAGAGTTCTTCCCTGGTTATGGGCGCCAACTGGAACCATCCCCATTTAAAAGTGAATAGTCTTCCCTTCCTGTGTTTTTTGAGCATCCATCATGCTATAGTCTTGTGTGGGGTTAGAACTCATAAGAGGTACCCGCTAGATTCTGTTTAGTTTTGATTGTGAATTGATCCAAGACTACCTGGGTGATCACTGCTAAGGGTGGTCTGTGTGTTAAACTAATTTTTTGAAGTTTAGAAAGTCTCTTAGTTGGGCTCCAAACTGCAGGCTGCCAAATCGGGGGAGGGGTGGTGGTGGTGGAACTATCCTACTGCAGACTCCAGCTGGGAATAGAACTAAGTGCTAGAGAGCAGCACCCACAAGGTCCTGGACAATTTGAGCCCGTCACCACCACATAAATACTCAAACAAGCAACTAAATAAATAAATAGAACAAGGGCTTGTTTCTGGGTTCACTTTAGACTTTTTATTTTAGATTCTCTTAGAGTAAGTCCCTGGGAACCAACCTTGGGTCTCCTGCAAGAGCAGTAAGTGTTCTTAAGCATTGAAACATCTTCCCAGCACCCTTAATTATTAATTTTATCAGAACTCAGGCTGGAGAGATGGCTCAGTGGTTAAGAGCACTGACTGCTCTTCCAGAGGTCCTAAGTTCAATTCCCAGCAACCACATGGTGACTCACAGCCACCCATAATGAAATCTGGTGCCCTCTTCTGGCCTGCAAGGACACATATAGGCAGAACACTGTATACATAATAAATCTAAAAAAAAAAAAAAAAGAATTAAATGTTTAATTTTTTTTTTATCAGAACTCTTTATTTGGGTGGCTTTTGGTCTCTGACTATGGAGCAGGAAGACGTTTCACCCCAGGTCCCACATCTCATGCATGTTGGCTTCCTTGGTCATGTGTTTAGTGTGTCTTCTCGTCTGTCCTGGGGCCAGCTTTCTGGCCCACCTGAAGCTACTTTCAAAATTCAGGATTGGTTTTTGTTTTAATACAGAGTCTCTCTGTATTGCAGTCCAGGTTGATCCGGAGCAGCTCCTGATTGCCCAGCTTTTCCTCCCAGCATGCCTGGATCACTGGCTTCGGATCATCAGCCTGATGTTGAGTTTGTTTTTGTTAACTTCCTTCCCAGAAACGGCTCTGGACTAATCAGAGTTCCCAGCATTAATGCCTCTGCTTTCCTCCCCTCTGTTCTCTCTCTAAACAAAGACTTCGTGTTTTAATAGGCACAATAACAGTAAAATTAGCTTGATTAGGCTCCAGGTGGATTTAAAATGTAACCTAATGGCATATCTGCCTGGCTTGGAAGTCATGCATTTTATTTTGTGCACAGGATGTGAGTGTCACAGTGACTGGGGTATGGAAGGATGATTGAATTAAAGTGGCCATCTTTAGATCCTGCCTCATGGTTTTTAGCCTATTAAAACTGGAGAAACGTGGTCCATCCACCTGCCCTCTGTCCTTGATGTGTGTTATACCGCAAGCGTTAGCACAGTCACCCTCCGCCTCTACTCACTCCTCCGGGAACCTTCAGGGTTCTTGGAGAGCTCAGAATGGGAGGTAGGGCCTCTGAGATGGCTTAGCAGGCAAAGATACCCGCTGTCAAGTCTGGCAACCAGAGTTCAATCCCCAGGACCCCCGTGGTGGTAGGAGAGAACTCATGCGGGCAGTTGTCCTAGCTTTCCTCATGCACATCATGGCACACATGCCCTTCTCTCGAATAAATAAGTGTAAATTTATTTATTTATTGCTTGAGACTGGGTTTCTCTGTGTAGCCCTGGCTGTCCTAAAACTAGCTCTGTAGACCAGACTGGCCTCGAACTCACAGAGATCCATCTGTCTCCTGAGTGCTGGGATTAAAGGTGTGTGCCACCACAGCTAGTAGCTCCCTTCTTTCCCTGCAAGTCCTCGTGTATGCTTTCCTTAAGTAGCAAAGCCCCATGCTGGGGTGCTAGCTACTCCATCTAAGTGCTTTTTCATCTCTACTAAGAGGAAGCAGAGGCACAGAGCACCTGCCTACTTATCAGCCAGACCTGATTAATGTGTGACTTGTGTGTGTGCGTGGTGGCCCCAAAAGGCCTTGGAAAAGCAGGGGTTTTGTTTCTTCCTTTGGATCAAAGGTGTAGGCTTTATGTTCCCTGAGCTCACTAGGAACCCAGAATATCACACCTAGCATTTGAATAATATAGTAATTAGCATACAGTGGTAATATTTGGGAGCAGGGACAGAACCTTTTGCCCCTGGTCATGGCTGCTTCATTTTGGAACCTTTACTAAGTTTCTGGGCATTGTTATAAGCACAGCCCAGGAGGTAAATGTAAAAATAATTTTCTTGCCAGTTTTTTTCTGTGTGGTATCCTAGCGACAATGGTCTGGCTGTCCTTGGATGTTGGGGCACTGGCTAGGATAGTGTCGGCACTGACCAAAAGGAGGGATATGAAGGGCACAATCCGAGTTGGCCTTTTAAAAATCAATGCAGCGGCTGGAGAGATCACTCAGTGGCTAAGAGCACTTGCTGAGCCTCATCCTGTAGCCCGTGCTGATCTTGAACTCATAGCAATCCTCCTGCTTCAGTCTCCTAAGCTTTGTGATTACAGGTACGCACTACACACACCTGTATTTTTAAAGGTTTCCTAAATTTGGTTATTTTTAAGCAGTCATTTTATGAACTGATCATCAAAGTAATATATGTTTATTGTCAGACAAGTTAGCAACACCAGAAAATCTCAAGGAAGAAGATAAAAAGCCCACCATAGTTCTGACATATTGGCTCAACACCTTGCTTGTCTGCTTTACTGAACCATATGCTGAAATCAGACATACCCCGTACTACCATGGACAGTAATTTGTGCACACTAAAGTTTGAATACCTGTGAGCTAGAAGGATAACTGACAAATCTCTACAAGAAGGCTGGGGGCAAAATGATTCCTCTTTTAAGATTAAGATCCAATCCCCAGTGGCCAGTGTGTGCGGGTGAAGATGAGCTGTATTCCTGTTTGCCCTGAAGGTTTGTTCCATTCTGCTTTTACAGCTCTAATATGGGCTAATAGATTTACTTGTGAGGCTCTTGTGCCATAGCCACCATATACTTGCCGCAGGGCGTGGATGAAGTCAGTTATTAAGAAAAAGGAGCACCAAGCAGCTCCATGGAAAGTGCTTCTCCCCCCCCCACACCCCCCCACCCCCCGGTCAACACATGCACAGTCAGGATCATCTGCCTTAGAATCTTTTGTTTATTCTGCAGTAAATATTCTATGTGTATTTCACTGCATAGCCCAGGCTGGCCTCAGGCTCACAGAGCTCTGCCTGCCTCTGCTTCCTGAGTGCTGGGATTTTAAAGGCATGTGCTACTGTGCTTGGCCCCAAGTAGATCATTTTCAAACTTGGCCGTGTTTTACTGTAAGGATGTATCACATTGTATTAGCTAGTCTCTTGTGTGTTTAGGTCATTGTAATTATGTACTGTTATGCAAATGGTGACACCAGTGAGTGCATTTTGTGGATAAATAACTAACTGTAGAGCTGATGGCTCACAGAAGCTGAGTGTTTTTAAGGCTTTTATTTCATATTGCCAAATTGTCCTCAGGACATTGTACACATCCTACAATAGGTCTGTCTATTTCCCTGCACTGAACTAGAAATTATTCAAAGAATCTTCCACAGCATTCCTGTTCTTTAATTTTGGATGGCCCAGGGTTTCTGTTCATTGCTTGGCCAATTTGGGTGAAGAATTTTATTTTAAGTGAGGCTGGAGATAAGTGAATACCGGTGACTGACTTCTTGTGGCAGGCTGAGCTTGCTATCCATTTTTTCAAACTGTCCTTGGTAGACATCTAAAGACAGTATAGTAATACTTAAAGGGCACATACAGTTTTAACAAGTGAATTTGGTATGATTTTTAAGGTTTCTTTCTTTTTCTTTTTAAATTTCTTTTTAATTTTTGTATGTGTATAGGTATTTTGCCTGCATGTATGTATACTACAGGCATGCCTGATGCCAGAGAAGACTGAAAGAGGCCATCAGATCTCCTAGAACTGGAACTGGAGGCAGATGTGGGTTTAGGACTTGAACCCAAGCCCTTTGGGGAAGTAATTGGTGCTCTTTTCCACCCCCCAGGACAGGGTTTTTCTGGGTAGTCCTGGCTGACCACAAACTCAGAGATCTTCCTGCCTCTTGCCTCCAGGGTGCCAGGATTAAGGGCATGCGCCACCACCTGGCACGGTTGGTGCTCTTTGCCATCTTTGCAGACCCACTGACTTCATTTAGTTTTGTATGCATGTATGTGTGTGCTCGTGTGGTGTTGGAGGCCATTTCTAGGTTTCCTCTGGCTTTACCCAGCAGGTCTGCGTAGAGAGGATGATTAATTAGACCACGGGCCTGAGTGCAGATGTCTGAGATGGTCTGCACTAGGCTGTGCTGGGGGGAGGTCTTTTGCTCTACCCCTTGGCATTCTTTAAATACCCTAGGGCAGAGACTGTCGAGGCCCGATGGATTAGGATATGGGCCCTCTCGAGGCTATTCTGTATTTTCTATCTTTCTCTCTCCTTGTAACTATTATTTCCTGCTGCTTCCACTCGAGTGCTCTGGGGAAATGTGGGGTGAGTGATGGCCCCCCACAATGTAGAGGCTGGAGGTTGACACTGTACTCCACCACATATATTGAGGCACCTTACGTATAACCACACTGAACTGGGAGGTTCCTGATTCAGCTAGTCTAGCTAGCCAGTTTGCCTCCAGAACCTCGTCTTCACCTCCTCAGCCCTGGGATTATAGGCAGGCCATGACACCTACCCAGCATTACATGGGTGCTGGGAGTTGGAATTTAGTTCCCACTAAGCCAGCCCTTCGGTATGATTTGTGATTTGGAAAATAGTTTACTGTCTTATATCATAGAGGCGACGGAAAACAGCATTTGTATATTTATCCAAAGGAGATACGAGTTAAACAGCTCTTGGGAGAAGCATTGTCCTATCCCATCCCTGCACTGTAGAGACTAGAGAGCAAAGGTGTTTTTAAAGGACCTGGAGCCATGTGTGAAGGTTCCCAAATCTGCTCAGTGTTTGCTCATTGAGGTGAGACAGCCGTGTTCAGGCAGAGATGAGAAAGCACTTGAAGGTCTCAGGACCCATAGGTAGACTGTTTTCCAGGACCTGTGGGCTGCCTGCCCCACACACCCGCTGGACAAGATTCTCAGGCATGGAGGCCCACTTCTGCCCAGTCATCTCCACCTGTTGATTACCAGTGTACTTCCTCCTCAAGCCTCTGCAGCTGGGGCACCTCCTCAGGGAAGGCTTTCTTGATTGCTGAGTCAGTTTGGGGTCTCCTGCCTAGCGGCCTGCGAGCCCTGTACTTTTGCGTGACCACTGTAACGAGTTTGTTCTGCATTTTAGCTCTCATCCAGACTAGACTATCCCGGTTGTGAGTGCAGGAACTTTATCTTCTCGGTGTAGTTGAAGGCACATTCTAAGCCTTATTTTTATTTGAATATTTAGATGCTAATGAATGAATTAGAAGTGTGTGTGGGTTGCTGGGCGGTTCTGTTTCCGACTGCGTGCAGAAGCAGAAGAGAAGTCCCTTATTACCAAGGACATTGAGAGAAGAAAAACACAGTTGGGGCTGCCAAAGCCAGTGGGTATGGTGTACTTCGCTGGTGCCTGTCAGTGGACCCCTAGGGTATGGGGGTCAGCAGCCACATCCAACCAAGCATTCTTTCCTGGCTTACCGGAATCAGCTGGGCAATCCCCTAGGGGTTGGTTGTTAAAGTCGAGCTTCCAGAAACATTGTGCGGAAGAAGAATTCAAGGTCAGGGCTCTCAGAGGGTTTTCGGCGGCGCGTGGACATCACACCACGTAACCTACAGCCTGGTTCTTATAGTTGATGGGTGCTTGGTGCAAGGGTTTGGCAGAGCTATTGGTGGCTGGCTGGGCGCCAGAGAGCCGCAGTGGTGAGGCCTGAGGTCCTGCCCTCCCCGCGCGCTTGCTTCCCTCCCCTCCTCCATCTCAGCCTCCTCCAGCTTGCAGCATCCTCTGCAAGGGAAGGAATGTGCCAGTCTGGGACGCGCCGTCCTGGCCGCGCGGCAGCACCTAGGGCGCCCTCTGGACTGCCAGGGGCCGGCGTCTGGCTCTGCGCGGCGCGCTTGGGTCGGCGCTGATGTCAAGTGGGTGTGGGCTCTTCGCAAAGGCCCCGGCGAGGACGAGGAGGGCGCACGATGTGCGGTGGGCGCTTGGAGGAGGCCCAGCCACGTTCCGTGGCCCAAAGCTGTTGACCGGTGGACCACTGGGGCCGGAGCGGGCGCATGGAGCCTTGGCGCTGCCCGCCCCGGGATGCACGCCCCGCCACCCTGGAGTGCTGGGGAGAGCCGCGGGCAGCCTGCAGGTGTGTGCACGCACGAACTTTCTCGGGCAGGACGCGGGGATCGTGGGCTGCGGTCTGGTGCTTTGTGTCTGGGCGCGGTGGGTTAAGAGAGAATTCAGCGGGCCCCTAGCTTCTCTCCTCTTGGGAAGGGCGCGCCGGTAGCTGCCCAGCAGGGTTAAGAATCGCGTCTCCAAGTCCTGCCTGTGTTCATGGTAATAGGATTCTCTCTCTGCAGACAGTTCGGCTTTCCAAAATCGCCGGTGGTGCGTGGGAACTGAGAGGCCCCAGAGGTGTGGGAGCTGCAGGTCCGAGGCAGGCTCTGAAGGAGGCAGGAGGTGGCTAGTGGTTCTGCACCGGGTGGGCGGATGATCCCACCTCCCCGCCCCCCCAGAGCCTTTCCTTGTACACTTTCTGGAGAGTGAAAGCCTGAAGCTGGCTGTGGAAAGGTCAGGGGTCAGACCCTCATGAGTGACATCTCAGGTGTCAGACACATCTTCCTGAAAGAAGGCAGGGCTTTTTTCCAGGCTCCCTTTGCACCCCAAGTCCTGAAGCCCGGGGTTCTAGGGCTAGGGCTCCGGTCCTGTCACTCATCTTTCTTGGCAACAGCAGCTCCTGGTAGGCAGGTTAATTATTAATATGTATCGGCTGGCGACAGAGACTCTGGAAATGAGATTGGTGGCTCGCCCCCACCCCCCACCCCCGCTTGCCGTTTTAGTCCATAATACTGCAGTGTATTTCCAAGGAGAATGTGGGCATTCTCCCAGGAAACCAGTATTCGGGAGGGAAAAGCTTTTCCTCTCTGTGGGACAACCAGACTCCCTAGGGAGGACAGCAAGCCAATATTCCTTCATTTTTATCTTTTTTTTTAATTAACAGTATTCACCTTTTCTCCGCCTTTGGAAACCAACTGCACTCTAACACCAGACTGAGCTCTTTCAGGGCGCACCTAGAGTTTGAGCTGCAAATGCTGCCTGCAATGCCTGCACTCTACAAGTGCCTCTGATGCCGCTTTGAGAACTTGGGTCTGTAGGAGGACCTCTGGCAGGACCCTGACAGCTGGTTCCCAACCTGTGCCCCCAGTAGACAAGAAGACAAGCCTAGGTGTGGAACTGTGGGGGCGGGGTGGAGTGAAGCTCTCGCCCTCAGGCAGTTTCAGTTTCCTTTTGGCCCCGGCAGGAGAGCATGGGTTCTGTCACCCAGCACGAGGTGTGCAGTGCAGCTTTGGGTATTTCTCCCTGGGCCCCAAGGAATGGAAGGGGAGGAGCCAGGCTGCTGCCAAGGGAGGCTGCGGACGTGAACGAACTCTGGGGATAAATGGAAGTAAGCGTAAGGGGAGTTGACACCTTCAGCCTTCCTTGCAGTTTTGAGTCTTGAGACCTGGGAAGCTGTGATGGACTGCTTTTCCTGCTTAGGAGAGTGCTCGGTCTGGTTAATGAAGGGCCCAAGAACCGGTGCAGTGCGTGTGATGAGTGCGTGTGATGAGAAGTGGAGGGCAAGGAGGCCAATTTCAACTCTGCCTGCAGGCTGTCTATCAGGTGACAGAGGCTCTGGAGCAGGCCTCGTACCCTCTACACTCCAGTTTTCTGAAGACTTCCTCAGGAACTTGACTCATTCTGTTCCTCTTCCCCTCCACTCCGTGTGCTGGCCAGGCCAATGGCTGCTGAGACAGAGCTATCTCACCCCAGTCTTTCAGGCAGAAATAGAGGGCTTGTCTGTAAGGAAACTGCTTCCCTAATATCCTGGATAATTGAGGAAACTGTACCATGGGTTTCTTCAGCAGGGCCTGCTGTTCTGTACACTCTGGGTACCACTGCCAGCACCCAGGAGCGTTGTCTGTCTTCTCCAGTGGTGACCCAGGCATTGGTGCTGTGTAGAGGGTTTGGAGGCACCTCTGATTGTGAGCCGTTTTTCCTGTTTAGGAAGTTGACCCAAATACACTGTCTAATAATGCCGCTGTCCGTGTCTATTCAATATTCATTGATAATGGCCCCATCTCTGCCTGGTGAAGCCATCCAAGGGGATTCTGTAAAGAGACAGTGAATAGTAGTATCCCCTAGGCACTGTCAGTTGAATGGGAAGGGACCAGGGATTGGAGGGTTTCAGGGAAAGCAAAGCGGTTTTCAGGAAGGCTTTGGGATTGTGGGATGGGTTGTGGGGTCAGAGGATATGACTATTTGGAAGTGTCCACATGTTGTGTGCCCCACCCTCCGCCATCTTGCTCCTTGTCTCTACTCTGAGTGGAACAGATAGACTTGAGTCCAGTAGCAGCTGAGGCCTCTGCTGGACACTGACTCCAGGAGCCTCTGAGGGCAAGAGAGGAGTGCTCTGAAGGTTTGTTCTGAATCAGGTGATAGGGAAAAAGACTCTAGCAGTCATGTTTGCAAAATTATAAAGATCCTCTGGGGATTGCACTGTCTCTTGTGAGGGGCAAAGGGCCCCTATTCCAGGCCTGTGTGCTGTGGGCATGCAGAAACAGGGAGAGAGAATGAGGGGTTGATTGAGGCTGGGTGTGTGTGTGTGTGTGTGTGTGTGTGTGTGTGTGTGTGTGTGTGTGTGTTTTCTTAGCGGACTTGGGTTTGAACTCAGTCTCTGCTCTGTGTCCTTGAGGCTGAGTCAGTTTCTTCACCTGTGAAATAGGGGTAAGGAAACCCGACTCAGGAAAGACACAGCTTTTGTGATCTAATGGGATCCTGTGTGTGAAAGTGGCTTGACATTCTGTGTTACATGGGGCTGTGCACCTGGTGCTGTTGGACTCTTCTTGTTGTGTTGTGTCACTGAATTCTCAACAGTTTTAGAGGCAGATGCTATTGTTCACATTTTATTGATGAGGAAGTTGAGCTGTTAGGAATTATGTGATTGCCTCTTAGAAACCGTCATTTGAGAGTTTCTGAATTCAAGTTTCCTCAAATATGTTTGTGTACCTTTCTTCACTGACCTGTCCTGTGGCTGTAGACAAAATCAGGCATAAGTTGTAAAATAAGTGGGATGTTCCTATTGGCCCCTTGTTCTTTTGGGAATCTCTCCCTTCCCATCATCCCAAAAGCTCTGGAGCTAATGAGCGTAACACGTGCTTGTCTGTGACTTTTGAATGTCTCTTGTGTGGGACTCTTGCCTCTAGCGCTCACTTTTAAGAAGTTGCCATTGGCTGGGGAGATGGCTTGGTGGTAAAGTGCCTGCTGCTCAAGCCTGAGGACCTGAGTTCAGATCCCAGCACTTACTTAAAAGCTGGGTGTTACTTCAACTTGGAGGAAGGAGACAGGCTGATACTGGGGCTCTCTGGCCAGCTTCTCCTTGAAAACAGCCAGCCCTGGGTTCAGTGAGAGATTCTGTCTCAAAAGATAAAGTGAAGAGTCTTTGATGAAGATGTTGACCTCTAGCCTATATAGCCATATGTACAGGTGAGTGCATCTTAACACACACATGTATACATATGTACCATATACATAACACGCGCGAGGGAGAGAGAGAGATTTAAAAAAAAAAAGGTTATCTCTTTGGTTTGGTGTTGGGCAGGACAAGTTTGGTTTGGTCTGGTCAGAGCCAGCCCTTGGGCCCAGCACTTCCAAAGGTCCCAGCTCTCTGACTCTTCAATGAATACTTCTGCCTCATTTTGCCTTTGCTTCCCACGTTCTGCCAGTATGCACTGAGGTTTGAAGTTCCCAAAATATTAGAGGAAAAAAAATGTCAGAAAGAAGAAAGGAACAGAACACCCTGGGAAAACAAGGGCTCACAGCTGGTGGTGTTTTCAACTCAGAATTGCTCATTACCAGAGTTATGCTCAGCCTCCAATTTGTTTTTGTTAGTTTGGTAGCTTGCTCATAAGCAAAGGCTGCAGCCTTTTGGGCCATTCTCTCTTTTAATGGTTAAAGCAACATTAGGGAGGTGTGACATGAAGCAATCAATTCTGGTTTGGAAGGAAAAGTGAAAGCAACTGGTAGGACTCCAGGAGTCGGGAAGTGAAGAGCTCTAGCAGGCACAGAGATTCCACAGTGTGTTCCTGAAGCCTCTGCCCCACAGCAGCCTGATGATGTCTGTCATCAGAGCAGGTGGCATTCCCTTCATGCCTGAGGCCAGGTGCCTACATGTGTGCTGCTAACATATGGTACTCTGTCCTAGCTCAGCGGCAGGCAGTCTTGCTTAACAGTTTTAATAATTCTTCTTTTCAATTATGTATTATAAAACTTAATTATTACAAGAGAAGATAAAAGGGAAGAACTGTGGATGAGTCTGGAGATAAGCACTTTGCATTTTGGTGGAGTTTTTAAAAACTTTTTCTCTTAAGGAAGTGGGGCATTTGTTTTTTGTCCGGCGAGATTAGGTCATTATTATCCTTGGGCAGATCTGATTTTGTGCCTTGGAGCAGGCACTCTTTCTATAAGCCTTGTCTCCTTACGGAGTCAGGTCACCCAGGTGGAGAGAAAGATGAGCAAGACATTCAGGGCTGAGTCTAAAGAATTTCTCTGCTTGGATTATTGTGCTTTTTTTTTGGGGGGGGCACTTGATAATTCATGTCAGACTATTGAAATTGGAAGGGATGGAAACGCTTTGACTATTGCCTTTATTAATAGGGGAAACTGAGTCTCAGACCTGACTAGACAATACAGAGCATTTCTAGTTGATCCAAAACATCCAGAACTCAGGCTCCCCCGACTCACCCATGTTTTGAGGTTCAGTGCAATGGGGTCATACAGGGGTGCATACTTTTAGTTTTAACAGTTGCATGTATTAGGGATTTTTTTTTGCATGGATTTGAAAAACAATTCAGCTAAAACTTTAAACTCCTCATTTGGCAGTTATTATTACTTTGGATGTGGCTAGAATCTGTGCTGTCTATTTAAAGAAAAAAGTGGAAGTACAGGTTGGACGGGGCCTTGGCTGAGATTTCAGAGGCAGTGTATGGGTGGGGTGTGGTAAGCACTCTTCCAGTGACAGAGGGACTTGCCCAGCTGGCTTTAGTAACTTAAGGGACTGGAAGAAGGAACTGGCCCTTAGTGAACACATTCTACTTGCTGGGCGTCTTA